GTAAAGCTGACAAAATGTACATTTACATCAAATGCATCATTCAACCACATGCAGGAATTTAAATACTAGACCTTTGGAGTTATATACAGATACATACTCCAAGAGCAACACACATCTATGCTCATTCTGACAAAAGCCTTATAATGCTAGATGGTAAAAAACTTCTTTTATATCTTTCTTTCTTTGTTTCTGGAGGTACATATCTGCCGCTGCGTGATCTTACAATTTGTGTGGAAAAGGGGTGTGATGGGTCGTTTATAATGCTTTTTATCTTTTTTATACATGTGGTGTTATACATTTCATCCATTCTTATAAAATCATATCCAGAGATCTTGCTGGCTTTCTTAAACTTAATGGTTCTGTCAAATTTTTTTAAAATCTTTCACCTTACAATTCCCACCCCAGCAGCAAATACAAAATAATAGCACACTTTCAATCATAGAATGGTAAAAAAGGGACATAATCTTATTATCAACACGGAAACTTCTTAATTTCCTAAGAAACATTCTTTGATTTACTTTTTTATGCACAAGGGCAGCGTGGGAATGCCAGTCAAGTTTGTGGTCGATTGTTACACCAAGATACTTGTAAGAGTTTACCACCTCCACCTCTTCATCTTTAATAAATAGTGGTTGCAATTGGTCTTTTTTTACTCTAAAGTCTATTATTAATTCCTTTGTCTTTTTTACGTTTAATAAGGAAGTGGTTATCACACCAATTTGTAAATAGATTCACAGCGTCCCTGTATTCATTCTCATTTGTTGCTATAAGGCCTTGTAAAGAAACCTAACATTTGCACAGAGTTCATCCATTTTGTTATTTAGTGACCTTGCATTACCAGTTACGATAGAAGGTAAAAACGGTTTTAAAATTCTTCTTCTTGCTCTCAATCGTACTCCTCCCTTTCTTCCCCGTTTACGTGGTCTCATTTCACAGGGTAGAACGACTTTGAATACACTGTTTCTGTTTGCCGTAGGGTAATTGCAATAGGATAATTCTGAGAGTTGTGGTGATTTATTGAAATACCCCCAAAAACGCCAGTCTTCAACGCTTGTGACTGGTGAAAGGGCCCAGTTGCAAGTGAGTTAATAATGTGATCTCTTCAAATTTAATTACAAATCATTCCAAAATGAAACATTGGTGTTTATTTCTGTTTGCGCGGTGTGATAGCCATCAAGTCATATTTTCTAATGAAGTGAATTTTGTTTTTCCAGCACTTTGCAGTGAATGGCAATCAGTTAGTGAATTGTGTTCCTAAGTAAAAATTGTTAAACTGCAATGGGTCGGTCACACATATGAAAGGCATAGAGAGTCACTGAATGAACTTTGTCGGGTGTGTTAGAGTTTAAATTTAACTGTCAAACAAAAAAAAGTACAAAAAGCCCCGATTATGTAAGACAATGTCAGGAGATATTCTCCTGATTTATGGGATTTTATGTGTCGAGGGACGAAGATGAACAGTCGTATTCCGCTAACATTTGTGTCAAATGTTTTACAGCGATTTCAAATACAAAAGGAGATTATATGGTGTTACGTCACGTCAATTCATGCCGCAAAAAAGCTGTTGACGCTAATGGGAACATGTGGTGTGCGTTTGACAATTATAACATAATTTATGTCGGTATCGTTTGGGTGGATGCATACAAAGATCTATTTCAAGCAAACATCGCAACACACCCCAAGCATACCTTCATCCCCATGTATACAAGGAACTAACAAACACAGTGACAATTTGTACAGAAGCAAGAAAAGACTCTGGCGAAACTGCAAAAATTGAGGAAGCAAGGGGACTGGAAGCAATATTCAATCTTCTCAATGAGAGATTCAGCCATGTTCACACTGCAATATCACATCTCAAACCAGTCAAACAATTTTCACTTCCAGAAATCCACGTAGCAATCGACATGTACATGGCCGTATTCAGACGCTATTTCCCCGCAAAGTTATCCCAAAGCAACACTTATCATAGCAACACTGTTTTCCACACATACAACAACACATGTTTGCTCTCTGGCTTTTGGGAGAACAGGACACAAAAAGCAGCCACCAAGCGATCTCAAAACTGGAAGACAGAGCACGAAGGGTCCCAAACCAGAAGACATTATAATGCGTTTTATTTTTGTGTCGCATCTCCTGCAAATAGCACCCTCATTGCGTGCTGTTGGATATGTTTAGAAAGAAAAATTGTATTTATACTTTTATTTGGTACATGTTCATTTTGTGAAAAGAAATTGGTGTTGTATAATATTGAAGATACGTCAATATCATTATTCAGGAGGATACACATTCCATTGGATACAAAAAGTCATGAATGCACGGAAGCGTTTTGGCTATCATGCTCATGACAAGTTCCATGTTCGTGCTGGAAACAAAATTTTAAAGGAGTCAATTTCTAAACACATTTTCCTGTCTAACATGGCAGTTTTGTATATTTATTGTTAGGCTTATATAAGTTATTAGCCACTCAATATGTGTTTGGTTTTTTGACTAACTATAAATAGACATGATACATTTTAAAGAGCATCTAACTCCATAACGTGAGCAGCCATGGTATTGCTATTTCGTACCAATAAGAAGTTTAGTTGCTTTCTCTAAGGAAGTGGCTATTCTCACCCGGGGTGAGAATAGATCAGATACAATCTACCTCTCACCCCGGGTGAGACTTACCAGCGTAGGCTATTCTCACCCGCTGTGAAACAAGACCTGTTTTTCCTCATTTTGGAATACTGTCTATCTGTGTGGATGATCAAATTGATAAAAGCCAAGAAAAAATTACGTTATAGCACAAAAGTAAGCTAATTTGATCGTCTTCAAAGATGCTATGGCTATTTCACTTTTCGAATCGAGCCGAACTACGTGGGTCGCCATTTTGTTTTGCCCTGAAGTTCTCACAAGATCTACTCCTCCCCCCTCTCTCTCTCTCTCTCTTTCTGAAAACTGTGTATCGGTGTGGACGATCAAATTGACCAAAACAAAGTTAAAAAATGATGATAAACAAGAAAACTAAATTAATTTGGTTGTCTACAAAGATGCTACGGCTATTTAACTTTCCGAATCGAGCCGAACTACGCGGGTCGCCATTTTGTTTTGCCCGGAAGTTTTCGCGCTACTCCTCTCTCTCTCTCTCTCTCTCTCCACTGCCCTCAGACAAAATTGAACGCTTTTAGTCGAACACTAACAGTAGTAATAGATCAAGAACGTTTGTTCACAGCACAGAATTCTATAATTCTGTTATCACAGTGTAGAATTCTGTGGTTCAGGGTGAACCCTTCACTGGTTGGCCTAGGCTATAACGGTGAACGCCCACCGGGTGAAAATAGCCAAAAGACTCGCCTGCGCTATTCTCACCCAGGGTGAGAATAGAGGTGGCCTTCTCTAAAGAACAAACTTGTGTTCCCGTATGATGTGTTTTGTTTGTGTAAGATGATAAAACATGTGTCGAAAAATTCATTTCACCGGCTACCGACGCAGGTAGCGGGAGGTCGGGTGAGTGACCTGTGTGACCGGCCCGCCATGACCCAGTCACTCAATCGTCGAGCCAACTAAAAGAGCGGTGTTTGTATGCCGTGGACAAGATGCTTGTATGACTTTCTTTTTTTTTCTTCAGCAAATGACAGCAGAGGACAAATATTGATTTATTTTCATTCCGGTTACCGTGTTGCACCGTGTTCATAGATACTGAGACTACGTGCCTGGTTACCGTGTACGTAGATACTGAGACTAAGTGAGACTAGGTGCCCGGTTACCGTAGATATACTGAGACTAGGTGACTAGATCTAGATTCTAGGTGCCCGGTTACCGTGTACGCAGATACTGAGACTAAGAGCACGGTCCCTCCGTATTTATTAACTTAAAAAATGTCATCAAATTGCATTTTAGATACTCCATGTTCGGGAAGATTGAAGAATACCGGACCACTCGTACATTATTGCGGAGAAAGTCAGAAAGTGGGGTTGGTGGGGGGGCGGGTGGTTGGGGTGGAGGAAAGGGGGGGGGTTCAGGAGGGTCTCCCCCCTGACAAAATTTTAATATGAGAATAGATCTACCGGTCCGAGATTCTCCATTGAGAGATATTAAAAATGGGAAAATTATGAATTCCTAAGGTTGAGACATAGGCAAAGTTAGTCCGCTGGTCCGGTATTCTTCAATCTTACCCCATGTTCCAATTACTGTTCCTCCGTCACAATGCATGAAATTTACGAGTGTCCTATCGTTCATTATTCATTGCAAGCAGCAAGAAGGTGGGTACCACGGTAGTATCGGGTAGTAGTGGTGGCCACCTCTATTCTCACCCGGAGTGAGAATAGTGCAGGCGAGTCTTGTGGCTATTCTCACCCGGTGCGCATTCACCAAATTTTGCGTTCACCCTAAACCACAGAATTCTACACTGTGATAACAGAAAAATTGTAGAATTCTGTGCCGTGAACAAACGTTCCATTACAACTATAGCCTACTAAAAGCGTACAATTTTGTCTGTGGGCAGTGGAGAGAGAGAGAGAGAAAGAGAGAGAGGAGTAGCGCGAGAATTTCCGGGCAAAACAAAATGGCGACCCGCGTAGTTCGGCTCGATTCGAAAAGTTAAATAGCCGTAGCATCTTTGTAGACAACCAAATTAATTTACTTTTGTGTTTTAACATCATTTTTTAACTTTGTTTTGGTCAATTTGATCGTCCACACCGATAGACAGTATTCAGAAAGAGACAGAGAGAGAGAGAAGAGGGGAGGAGTTGATCTTGCGAGAACTTCCGGGCGGGTGAGAATAGCCACTTTCAGTAGTGGTAGGGACAGCGAATCGGGAATTCACGAATTGAAACACAGTTGAAGTAGATCTAGATCTAGTCTAGATCTAGATCTAGATCTAAATCTAGAGATCTAGTCTAGACGTCTAGATCTAGAATCTAGATCTAGTCTAGAAGTTGAAAAAAGGATGATTGATGAATTGAACAAAAAAAACCCAAAAAAACAAAATAATATTGATATTGAGTCAAATAGGAACGCACTCATTTCCACATGCAATAACAAGTTGTGGGTTGCATTTGATGTCTCGCCATGGGTTAGAATGCTTCAGGCGATGAGGTCGAAGCCAAACATGTTTGAATCCTTTGCGGACTCGACAGCTGAAAACTCTTATGATGGGCGCAGCCATTGTGTTTGTCGAACTCTTAAAAATTGATACTGCTAGGGAAACTGGCGAACATAATGCAACGAAACAAACCATTTCACTGCGGGTGTAAAGTGTAAACAAGAACCCTGGAAATCCGGACACCGGAAGGAAATGACGGTGACGGAAACGAAACAGAAACTAGGAACTACAGTCTGCAGAATAGTGTCATCTATTGATCACTCATCGCCTACAATATGTGAAAATTAATGATTTGGTGTGGAAATATAAATTTTGCTGTGGAAGGTGCTTGGTCTTAGAAGAAGTAGCAAAGGAATCCAGTTCAAAATACAGGCTTTTTAGAGGTGAGTGTGAAATACCGTGCCTGAGAGAGGTCAGCCTAACCTAACTTCACTTTTTTACTATTTAGAATCTAGATCTAGATAATCTAGATCTATCTAGATCTACGATTCGAATCCCTTTACTTTTACAATTTTACGTTTTGTTGAAGTTAATTACATCAAGATCTGACAGACTTAGATCTAGATCTAGATCTAGTAAAGACAGTGGTACACAGTCTGCGACAGTTCATCTTACTCACACTCATACTATCAGCATCTACACCCCCCCCCCCCCCTTTCCCCAAGGCTCAAGCAGGTCAGTAATTGTTTTCTTGTTTGGAGCATCCGATAAATTTTCTTAAAGTCTAAGGATTTATTAATTGGTAGTGTCAATTGCCACCGAGTAAATTGGAGCTCTTTCGCGTTGGCGGGTAGATCTAGCTTATTGTGCTCGAGTGCTAGGTGTTGTGTGTTCGCCTCTCTGTCCCTCCGTGTGTGTGTGTGTGTGGTTTTTTTCCTGACCCCCGTCCCCCGATTTATGTTCCCCAATATAACGTGAATTTCTGCTTCTACTTCTAGAATTGCCTGTGTTGGTTCTACACCAAAGTGTAGGCTAAGTCTAGCCTAGATCTAGGCCTTCGTCTCATTGAAAACACGCCAAGTTGGTAGGCCTACCATAGCTCTAGATTAGATGCTCGTCCAATGAAATTAGTTGAAAACAAATTGACCCATTAGACACACATTATCATGTATAATGCTAAAGACAGTGTTGTTTTCAGACTTGACACCGCTTCACTCGGTGGCAATTGACAAAAGGTCAATTTTTGTCAATTGCCACCGGGTCACTCGGTGGCAATTGACGCTACCTTATTAATTATAATGGCAATGGTGCCTTATTATGCTCATACTCATACTAGATTCTATATAGCCTTGATCTAGACTAGATTTTTAGTTTGCACTTTTTTTTAAAGTGAAAAAAAGCCTGAAAAAATGTATAAATTTACCATACCAGGCGATTGTACAGATTCACATCATGTATGAATATTATGGGTACATTTTTACTTTTGGACCCTCATGCCGATGCATTGTTTGGGGGGCTAAACTGCCATGTTTGCTACGGAACATACATACGTCATGTGGTCACTCCTCACAAATCAATTATTTTCAAGAAAATATCAAACTAAAGTAAAGTAAAACATCAAATTACATCAAAATTTGGAGAAATACATGGGGTCATGATGGCCCCCCCCCCTCGATTTTTCTCGAATGTCCATAAAAGTTGTCAAAAACAAGTGAAATGTTATGACTGCATGCCATGGCCGATTGTAAAAACATATCCATATCATAAACTAATGAATTTCAGAGATCAAAATTGGTGTAAAGCAGATAAAAATCAACAATTTTTATTTAAAGAAAATTGCTTTAGAACTGAAAATTGAGCATGAGACGAGTCCATGAGTACAATAATAAATAATACCCACTATGTCGTCGGTTGCCTGAAAAATTCGTGAATTCCACAAATTTTCGAAAAACTTTATATTTTTGCATATATTTTGAATTTGGCTCACATAAATCTTCCAGAAAGCATGGACAGAAAGAAAAGTTCCCGCCGACTGGCAAAAAGCGGTTATAGTACCAACCTGGAAGAAGAAAGGCAGTAAGAGAGACTGTGGAATGTATAGAGGCATTTCATTGCTAAGCCATGTGGGCAAGATGTTTGCCAAGATATTGGAATGGGGAACAAGACACAAAGTTGAACCAATTCTGAGTGAGGCCCAAATGGGATTTAGAAAGGGAAGAGGATGCACCGATGCAATATTTGCCCTGCGACAAATGTGCGAAAAGGTAATAGAACACAACAGGGAACTAAATATAGTATTTATCAACCAGGAGAAAGCGTTCGACAGAGTGAACAGAAACAAGCTGTGGAAAGAACTCGAAAACTACACTGTAAGAGGCCTACTTCTAGATAACATCGTGCCATTTACGAGAACAGCATAAGTACAGTAAGAGCGTCAGAGGGACTCACAGTATGGTTCGAGATAACATCCGGAGAAAGACAAGGTTGTATGTGTCCTATCACCACTACTATTTATCATATATATGGATAGAATCACAAAAGAGGCCAACACAGAACCAGACGCCCTAAATGAATTACTCTTCGCTGATGACCAAAGCCTGACACACAAAGATGAACGAAGTCTCCAACACCACACCACCAGATTAAACGAAGAATGTAACAACTACGACATGAAGATCAACATCAACAAAACAGAGACAATGAAAGTAAGCAGAAAGCCAGAACCACTCAGGATACACATCAACAACAACAATCTCAGACAGGTCCAAGAATTTAAGTACCTCGGAAGTATATTCACAGAGGATGGCCGACTGAACAGAGAAATTGAAACACGAGTACAAAAGGCCAATAATGTTAGTTACCAGCTTACTCCACTACTGAAACATCCTAACATCCCCATGACAACAAAACTCAAAATGATCAACACCATATTCATCCCAACACTCACCTGTCAATGCCAAACATGGACCACGAACAAGACATTAGAGCAAAGAATTACAACATGTGAAATGCGATGCCTTAGAAAAGCAGTAAACAAGACCAGGCGAGACAAAATTAGAAACTCTGTAATCCGAGAAATGGTGGGCACAAATGATGTCATGCATCACATCCAACACCAAAGAATCAAATGGTTCGGACATCTCCTACAATTACCAACACATCATCCAAAACAACGTGCCTACCTCCAAAAATTCGATGGCAACAAGGCTAGAGGGCAACCGAGAAAGACCTGGATAGATGGAGTCAGGGAAACATTAACCACCCACGGCATCCCCTTGACCCAAGCTCTCCGGCTGGCGACAGAGAGACAGTCTCTTTCTTCCCGCGACACCCAAAAGGGTATAAGCGGCGGATAAAAGTAAAGTAAAGTAAAGCATATTTTGAAAGTGCTTGGTGAGATACATGTCCCTGTAAAACTATTTTTCAATTATCTCAACTCAAACGTATAATCTCACGTAATATAAAAACCTCTTTGTCACATGATTAAAATGTTTATTTCCTAGATGCGGGACTGGTAGGCCTATTGTTTCACAATTTGACTGTCAATTTTAAATGTACGAATATAATATGTGTGCCCTTCTAGTAGTAGTTTATGCAATTTTGATCTTGTTCGTTTGCAAACTTTACCTTTACCAGTATAGGTGGTGGTTGACCATCCTGTCTGCTATAGATTTCCGATGCATGAGGCGAGTGAAATGGGTCGATAGCTCGTTTGCAAACAAAATAATAACGTGGTTAAGTAAAATTACAAGTATATTTCCACTTTGTATCACAATCCAAACTTGTTTGACATTCAAAGCTCACTGATTTGACATCAGAGTTCCCTAACGAGAAAAGGAGTTTTGCAAAGCTGAGCAATGTGAACCACTTTGGACATAAAGAAAGCTGCAGAACATTCAACATGGAAATGGTAAAAGATCCAGATAGACCGCAATGAAAAAAAGGGTCATCCAAAGTATATGATGCGCCGGAACAGATCATAGATGTTTTTTTAACCTCCGAAAGAAAGAGTGGCCAGCAATAAGCAATACAAATCAAGAGATAGGACTATTAAAAAACTAAAGACTGAAACACAGATGTGATTGCTCAACCAAATCAAATTACTACTCACTGTTGAAAGACAAAACCAGAACAACTATCTTTGTCTTTGTTTGGACTTTTGGGGAGAGAGAAAGACCTATGTGAACGGTCTTCTCAACACGAAAGAGTACAAGCAAAGGCGATACACCAAGCTGAAAGACGCACCCTTGGGTATATTATCTGAAACAGAGTGACCAGAAGGTCAAAGTTTCCAGGATGTTGATGTCTATGACCAGGCTCACCCATTGTAAATTGCTCTAGAAGAGCCTGTGCCAGTTGCATCATCACCTGTCTCACCCCATACAGACAAACATTTTCCACTCTTCCTTACCCTGGACTAGCTTCTTGATATCTTTCAAATGTCATTCCACTTTTCTGTGCATCATTCTTTGTAACTTTTCTACAGGTTTCGCATGGCCTTCCCTCGATCGTTTAAACTGTGGACTCCAAGTTGACACTGTCTTTGTTATGTAGCTACTTGATTTCCTGATGGTATGCGCAATCCAATCCATCTTCACTGTTTTCCTCTGTCTTACATTTTTCTGCTTAATACTTCCTCATTGTTGACTCTGTCTGTCTATCTGATCCTGAGTAACTTCTTCAGGCAGTTGTTGAAGACAACCAGGATCCTCCAGTACTTTGTAAAGAGTGCTTTAGAAGAGCCTAATCCAGCTTCACCACCGACAATCCACAAGGGGCGAGCAAGCCAAGGAAGTTTCTGTCCACATCTATGGACATGCTTCCGAAGGTTCCCACCCACTATTGCCAGCAAAGTGGTAAAACACACAGATACACACGTACACACACACACACACACACTCACGCACACTTACACACATACATGCTTCGAAAGGTTCCCACCCACTATTGCCAGCAAAGTGGTAATACACACAGATACACACGCGCGCACACGCACACACACACACACACACACACACACACACACACACACACACACACACACACACACACACACATACACTCATGTACACTTACACTCATACATACACAGACACACACCTGTAGCAGCTATGGTAGCGATTTGGGAAGGCAGCACATCATAAAAATAAACAAGTTGATCAGAAAGGCATCAAGAACAATTGGGGGAGACCTAAGTAACTTTGAATTTCTGCACAAAACAAACATTCTAATGAAGGCGGAAATAATGTTTAGTGACCATAGCCACCCACTGACATTGGAATTTCAATTATCAACCCGCAGTAAACGATACATTTCCAAAAAAGCAAAAACAGACAGATATAGATATATTCGTTCCAACTGCAGTGCGGTTACTGAACACACAGTGCTACAAATGAAACAGAGAGAGAAAGAGAGATAGAATGTTTTACGGAGCGGGTTGTTCCAGCACGTGAGACATGTATTTACTTTCTTCTTCTTTTTCTTCGTTCTCGGGATGTATTTACTAATGTCCTGTCTTGTTGTGCGTATGTGTGAGTGTAATGTTTACTGCCATTGTTAACGACCAAGACTAATTTCTCCCTGCGAAATGAATTAAGATTGTCATTGTCATTGTCAAAATTGCATCTATTTATATTGCCCTGAGTGCCTTTTCCACAAAAGCAAACACCGAAATTGAAGACAAAATCTTATTAGAGGCCAGACTCATAGAAAGTGGATAGTATGTACAGCATCGTTGAGTGGCAGTTTTTACTTAATATAAAACACACAAATATATAGATTATGTTGCCATTTTCAGAACTGCAATAATAATTGTGTCACGACGTGGTGGAATCAGGCGCTCATCAGTTTGGTATCATTTCAAAATGATACTCTATATCATGAAGTCGAGATATTTGTGATTGACTGAGGTGGGGTTCAGAGGTAACATTAGCGAGAAAATGGCTGCCAAAATTTGGCTACTTCCAAAGAGAGCTTGAGAGTCCTTAGAAACTGCAAATTTACATTTTTGTGCCTTTCATTTTTCAGTAAAATCCACACAGAGATCTTTTTTTAAATAGACATAAAAAGTGTTGAGCCAAAAAAATAAAATCAGAAAAAAAAATGCACAACGGCCAGAATGCCTCACAATGATTTAATATCAATGCAAGACCCTACTATATGAAATTTGTGGATCACATTTTTATTCCATGATTAATATTACCAAAATTGCAGTCCACTAAACTGTCAGGTCGGGTAGACAAAAAAAAAGACCAAACTGTTAGTACAATATGAAGCCTCTGATATATATAATATAAGTTAAGGAGAAGGTCTTTACAAAATAAACTTTGACAATCAATGGGAGAGTCTTCCAAAGTCCAGAAACAAGGAAAACTTAACAGACAGTTCCCCATCACTGTGTCACATTCCTTTAAAATTCACAAAGATTAAATTTCAGAATCTGAGAGACAAAAAGAGTAAAATAATGAAAGATGATCATGCAGTCATTCACAAGGTGTAGACATTTAATGTTAATCATCCCCCCCCCCTCAAAAGGGACATACACTCATACACAATTGGAGCAAGAAAGATAGAAAGAGAGAGAGAGAGAGAACGCGAATGAAGAAGTATGATTTCATAAATTACATACAATATCCCATTCATGTAAGAAAAATTGATGTTTATAGTGGTAAAATAAAGAATAGCGTCCTGTTTCACTCAGTCTGGTAATTATGATTGCCTCACTCTTATCCCAAGTATTTTTTAAAAGTATGCCAAGATGCACCCTGAGCCTGATTTGTTAGTTTTAATTAAATTTCAGCTTTCTGCTTCTTTTCTTTTTCAGACACATCGTTGCCTCAGAACTATTTTGTCCAAAGTGTACTTAGGTAAAGAGGAACTTTGGAAAAAATAGTTCCGAGGCGACGACAAAACATTAGGTATTTTCACATTAATAAATAATAATAAATAGCATTTGCACAGTGCAAATTCCCGCTCTACAGCAAGCTCTCTATGCACTTTACAATCTATATATATATTACTACCCCGGCAGACCTGATAGCATTCTGAAACAGTCTAAACTTCCTGGGAAGCATACAGTGCAAGCTGCCGGTTTTTATATGCGCTAAAACACTAACATACTGACCTATCAATAAAACAAAATTAGAAGTCTTAAAGGTTGAATTTAAATTGTTTTCTTTTGAGGATTTTTAGGAAATGAATGCTGTGTACATGTATTATTTTACTTTTACGTTCCGTCTCATGCTAGGGTTGTATAAATCTTTTTTTGCTCATTTTTAATTACACAAGTGTTGACTTTATGTCATGTAAAATTAATGAGTGTTTGAAATATTTGATGATTTTCATTTGGACTTCCGTATATTACACTGAAGCTTATACTAATGTAGCAATTTCCGCATCTTGGACCAATCCAAGGGGTTTCAGGGGATGCTACCCTATGGTTAAAAAAAACCTGGGGG